TAGAACACTGTAAACCTGATGCAAGATTTTAAAAAAGCTGTAAGTCACACAGATAGATATATCATATACATACTTGTCTTCAAACAATTAAATATTTCACTTGGTACATTTACAAGAAGCTAAAGACATTTCAAAAGAGTCTCTATGAGAAAAAACTAGGGGAAAATAACCACATGAATTGCAAAACAGTGTATCTAGCCTCAAATATGCTAATGCAGGTCCAGGGGGAACTAGTCAACCTCTTTGCTGAAGTAAAGATAAAACTTTTTGACAGAAAGTGCTATTCTGATAAAATGAAATTTTCTATTATTCTATGAACATCTGGTACATGCTACCATTTCTGGAACCCTGCAGCACACTACTTTGCAATGTCACAAAATCTTGTCCATTGAGAACTCCCTATTTTGCCAAGAAACTAGCTGAAATTAGTATCTGGAAATTTATTAAGGTGAGAGGTGGGTCAGGGTAATAGACAAAAGGATAAGAAAGGGATGTTCAGTCACTGAATTATACTTTCATTAAAAGACTAGAGGAAATGAAATTACACATTGTTGGTACAGTGTTGAAAGTATAAATATCTTAATACACCTGTGGTAGAAAATAGAATATGCATAGTATGCAGCCTACAAAACATTTCCTTGGCTAATTTGTAACAGCAGTTGCATTAGACACAGATTAAGTTCTTCAAATCCATGTTTTACACAACAAATATGTTAAATGATATTCAGGTGGTGAAACTAGCAAATAAACAAGTTAGTAAAATGCAGAAGAACCTACACTTTGCAAAATACAGCAATCATTATATTGCATTTGGGTGCATTTGGATGTGAACAGCAGATAAATGTTATTGCAAATTTCTGCATGTTGCTCTCATTTGGTATCAATTAGCATGGGAGGGAAACCAATTCAGTATTTTAATGAACTCCAAATTACGTGCATATTAGCACAAGTAGAGCCATCTTTTCAGCTAATGGATTTATAATCAATAATTCAAATAAAATGTAAGAGAGATTAAGTGTGATTTAAAACAAATTAATTGGGTTTGGTACTAGTATATATAGTACTAGGACATGATATTCATAAAACTAAGTTTCATATCAGGACAATATATTTAAGTAAGCATAACAGTAATATGCATCATCACAAAGGGTCATGCAAAGAAACAAGGAGGAGACAGAAGCCTACTAACCCCAGGACTACACAACCCAGAAATTACCCTGATAGGAAGAGATTCAAGCCCAGTGATACTCCCAATTGTGCAACAAACCCATGAGCCTCTGGCATCTCTGACCACCCTACTTATCAGTTACTGTTCTTAGAGATTGCAGAAATCACATGAGATGAAATTCTTGTTCATGCCAGAAGGTGATAATTTTACCAAATAACTTGAATTCATGGAAAGAAAGCATTGGTTAAAATATTTGAATGTGACACCCAAGCAGCATAAAATCACATCAGAAAACAAACCAGGTGGTAAAATCTGCTGAGTGACAACATTTACTTGTTCTCACAGTACTCGGAGAGCTACAGAGTGATAGCATTCCAAAAAGTGTCATATGCCAGTTGAAATTATAAGATAAAGAATTTTCCATCACCTTCTTTTCTGGGAACAAGAACTATGGTACTGGGGACAAGCTGAGACATATTAAATCAAAGGCACTTCAGGTGACAAATAATATTATAATTCAGTCACCTGGCTACTGGGAAATTCAGCTCAACCAGTACATCAACCCACTGACCTGATTTTAGGCATGTAGAGAATAACACAAGGATTAATAATAATCCAAAAAGCATAGATCCCTCTCATTCCCTCTTATCTCTACCCTGTCCAGCTCAGGGATGTGTTTGGTGGAAGCAATCAAAACAATCCAAAGACAAGTTAAACCTCTAACTTTGAGTGCAAAAGCCTTCCAGACATTCTCCTTTCTATGTTGTATATATTGATTCTGGATTCCCATCCCTAGAAATGTGTTCTCAGGGAAGAGTTGCTGAAAATGAAGGGATTTAAGTATTAACTCTAAGAGTCACAAAGCATCCTTGACATTCACACCGAGCATTCTTCTGCTATAGTTGTACGAACAAAGCCATCCCCCAAAAAAGCTTTTGGCAGTGAAAAGAAGCATGAAATAGGTGTCTTAGAAAGCAAAAACAGATATAGTTTATAACTTTTCTTCAACCACTAGCAAAACAATATTACCTCGTTGAACAACCTGTTACCACTCTAGTTGCATAAAATTATCTGCTTTTCAAAAATTCTAAGGTTTGCCATCAATCATGTGTCTACATATGTGCAAATAAATATGCTGTACTAATATCCAAATTAGAAACATCACAGAGAAATCCAAGATGAGCTAAACTCCCTCAAACAAAGGTGTAAGGTACACTCTATTGGGTATATTTGTCCCAACTTTGAAATGCTTCTGACAGAAACAGAAGAAATATTATCAAGATCAGTTACTCTAACAAAGTTATGATAACCTTTGCTCTTCTCCAGAGACATCCACTAAAGCCTCAAGAACAGTTAAGCTCTGAAACCCTCAGGATTTTAGAGCAATTGGGTTTGAGATGCCAATCAAGTATCAATGAGCCAAAGAGACCTGGAACTACCTTTTTTCCCCTTTAGGAATCTTTGAGACTTTCAGTGATGGTCCGAGTCCAGATAGGATTCCATTTTTTTCCTCCTTAACTTTCTAAATTGGTTGGCCTCAATAACAATGATACACCATATTGCCCTGGATTGAATCTAACTAAAACTATTCTAGATTGAATGATTTACAACATCAGGCATGCATGGTAAATTAACTCAGTGCTTGCCTTTTACCACGGTGCCTTAGGATAAAAGGAAAGACATTTATTCACATAAAAAAAAAAGTTTGAGATAGTGAAATGCTATAAAATGTCAATTGTTGAAATTGTTGTTATTGTTTGAGATAACAATAATCAACCCTAGCGCATTGGTGGCACAGTCTAGGTAGCTAGCCTAGAGTTTATTTTGGATATAACAATTATCATTATGGAAAGCTCAGAAGTACTCAGATATTATAAGAGCCTGAGATATAAACAAGACATGAGTTCCCTTTGTACCTGAACTTTAATGATTCAACCAAATTAAAAAGAAAAAACCGAGGTGTTGGTTCAAGGTTTAACTACTGCTAGACAAATGGAAACAATGAAGACACACACATGAAAATATAATATTAAGAAACAAAATGTGAAAATGTTGCTAAAATGGAACAAAAATTATGTATATAATCATCTTCTATATAATCTACATTTTTATGTAGAAGAATCTTGAGATAATGTTCCCCATTTGCTTAGAATAATCTCATTATTACATAATCTAATATATGTATACATTATTATATATCCAATTTATAAGGAACACACCCTTAGAAGAAAACTAGCTGTAGTCAACTGATATTGATTTCCTAGAGAAATGTGACAAAAAATTAAAACATGTTCTAGGTAAGCATAACTGAGAATTAATTATAAATATTTCCTTTCCTAAAGTCATTTAATATTAGAAAGCATCTAACTAAAACCCTTTCTGATATAAATGAAATAGCTTTTCTTTAAGACACAAGATTAGTAAATGATACATATCAGTCTGTGTCCTGTGACACATTGCTAATTTGCTGATAATGTTTCTTTTTCAATTGTGTAAATGTTTATTTTTTTAGCTTTAGTAAGATTGCCCAGAAAGTATATTATTTCTGAGGATGTCACTATCATTAATTAGGGAAGGCAGCAGTGCCCAATCAGTAGTGACCTCTCTATATTATAGACCTTGACACTTGGATCTTCTGGGGAGGAATGGATTAGAACATTTAATAGAATACACCGTGAATAATTTTTTCTATGGAAAATATTTTGTTTTGTGGATCATGCATTTTTTTTTCCTTTAGATTCATTTGCAAGACCAAAACAAAAGCATTTAATGATGTTTACAGTGAAATGAAACAGCTGAAGACCAGCACATAATCACCATATTTTGTTTTCTCATCTTTAAGTCTTTTAGCAGTGGGGCTTCCAGCTGAGCTTGCGTCTGAGATGTAGCCAAGCATCTGAAGCTTCACTGAGCCTAAGCACCAAGCTGAATTCATAGTTCTTAACTGAAAAAGACAGGCTGTTCGCCTACCATGTTTGCATCAGTAAAATATTGAAAGTGACATTTATGTCCAAGTCCATACAAACATTCTGCCATAGCTGAACACTGCTAATATTTTTGTACCCTAATTTATGTCTAACACAGTTTTAAATAGCTCTTCTTGCTAAAGCACGTGTGGCTGAGGTCACAAAAATAGACTCTTCTTCATACATGAGTATGCTACCTGACATTTACTTTGAAGTACATGCGTTTTGAAGTGTTTTCAATATTCACCAAATGTCAAACTGAGTCAGCAATGTTTTCTTACCCTGGAATTTCCTATGTGCAATGGCATAGATTTTTGTGGTAACCAAAGAGATCTGGCAAAGCAATTCCATAAACATAATAGAATATCTGGTACTTCCCCTCCTTAGCAAAGAATATGCAATCTGTGGTTAGAGAACAGAGTCTCTCTCTGGGTAAAGTTAACCAGCCTGAAATGGAAATAACATACACCCCTTTGGTCTCATTAGTGCTGTGTTCTATGCAACTTGAGTGTTCAATTTCATTCATATACTAAAGCAAAAAAGGACACTTGTTCCTGGTAAGAAGGCATCTGATCATTTCCCATGTGCTCAGTATAGTTATTAATTGTATAGAAATTGTATTTAGAGAGAGTCAGCCTTTAAAATGCCTGAATATTATACAATCCCAGGAAATTCATCCAGGGAGGGGAGAGATGGGTCTGGAAATATATCAGGACATCTCCAAACCCCGTAGAGACTGCTGAAGGCTATGAACACAGTATGCACCTTGACAATACTCTCAGTATAGTAAAGTAGTACAGTATGCCTACAAACATTCTGGTTTCTTTAGCATCTGTGGATGCAACTTACATCTAAACAGCCCTTACCATGGTCAGGCATCTGAGATCCCATGGAGGTCACAGCAGTGTTCAGTACATCATTCACAGCAGTATCACAATACAGGCTTCGCTGAACATCATGCTCACTGTCAGTCTGGTCGCTCTCTTCATGTCCACTATCCTTCAGGCTGTTGCCCTCTAAGTCCTTGAAGGTGGAGCTGCTGGATTAAAGAAAGAATGACAATTTACCACTGTGATAGACATTATTTTAAAAATCTTTCAGAGCCACGATGATGTCAGTTCTGTGGTGAGGACAATGGTGACTGGATTGCTCAATCGGATAGAAGGAAGAGAAATTTCTGGTTAAAGATAATGAAACTTAACATTGGAAGGAGGTTCCCACTCTTGGATGCTGATGCCACTAATACTTTCATTCACTTATCTTCAGTGCATTACTATAAGCAAGTCAGAGGAAGCTGCAAATCTGGAAGGAAAAAACCACCTGCAAAGAATATAATAATTTCAGAAAGTTTTCTTTCTCTTATTATATAATCAAAGTAAAATAATAATAGTTAATGTTTACTGAGGAATTACCATGCATAAGACAGTATTGTAAGTACTTGACATGAATTAACTTTTTAAATCATGACACTTCTATAAGACAAAAGCATATTAATAGATATGTAAGAGAAAATATGTTAATAGATATTCCCATTTACAGATGAAAAAATAAAGGCGCAACGAAAGTTAAATAACTTGTGCAATATCACATAGCCTATAAAAACGTAGATCTACAATGAAACCCAGGCAGTTTAGCTCCAGAACCTGGGTCCTTAACTACCATGTATACTGCCTTTCCAAAGATGTCTACTAATCAACTGTAAAAATGAAAGTAGCAGTAATTGAGGTAATTCAATTAAAACAGAAAGGTTTATCAGGATCAGGGAATTTATGACAGTTTTAAATGAGAAATAAAGAAGGGTAGATTCAGCCTAGACCGGTTTGGCTCAATGGATAGAGCATCGGCTTGGGAACTGAAGGTTCCGAAGTTCGATTCCGGTCAAGGGCATGTACCTTGGTTGCTGGCATATCCCCCATGGGGGAGGGGGGTGCAAGAAGCAGCTGATCGATGACTCTCTCTCATCGATGTTTCTAACTCTCTATCTCTCTCCCTTCCTTTCTGTACAAAATCAATAAAATATATTTTAAAAAAGAAGAAGAAGGGTAGATTCAAAGAACAAGAAAAAGAGGAGAGGCAGGAGCTGAGACGAGGAAAACTATGGTGTGTGGAAGGTAAGACAACAGGGTGGGTGAACCAGAAAGTGGGCTCCAACAAAACTTTGGGTGTTATGCTGAGAACATGGGAACTTTCAGTTCAAAAGCTTATGGATATATTTTTCTTGCACTTGTTCAATCAACCTACCACACAATTCATTAAGCATACTACCTACAAAGTTCACACAATTTCTCATGAACTAGGCAATAATACATAAGGTATATTCATAGAAGCCCCACATGGTATTTCTAGTGCTTTGTATGTTCTGACTGAATCTGCAGCTGTGCTGCACCAGGGGCCATAAATTATACATCTAAAACACCTAGTGAATGGTAAAGCCATTCCCTAGTCAGTGAGGAAGCAACAAGGGCATACTCAAGAAAACGTGTTGTTGTCTCAACAGAGGAAGGTGGCACGCTTGTGAATTAGGACAAGTCCCAACAGACCTATTGTACCTCTGAAAAGGAAGCCCTGTGGAGATGACACTGCAAACTTGCTTGATATGGTCAACCTTGAACATCCATAAGCCTGGCTCTCTGAAGCTTTGATAAAAACATTCAGTACATATGATGAAGAGCTATGCCATGGATACATCGTCATTTTCCACACTTGGTCTAAAGGAATCAGCAGATTTTAGCATATGACCAACCTAGATGTAAAATGCTTGCTGCCCTGAATATGAAAGAGAAAAGATCAAAAGGGAAGTAACTGGAAAACCATAATTATAAGAAAAATAAAGAGCAAGCGAGTGGGAAGCATTGAACTGTTTGCTAATTATTGTCAGAAAGGATAGCTGATCATCAACTGTATTAAAATTAAAGTCCTTCAATAGGACAGCTCATTCAGCTCCTCCAAATTATGTCATGCAGCAACTCAGCCCTGTGGACACAACAGAATGTAGATTTACTCAAAAATCATTCTATAACTCTTTTATGGTCAAGAAGACTAATTGGAAACACATGATTTAAAGTTGGCCACCATTTCTATCTTTATAGCACAGATTTTGGGGCCTCCTATAAATACTAATCCAACAGATGGAACAGATTCAAAGTTTGTTGTTTTAGGAGGGAAAATGTCCTTCCCACATGCAATTCCACATATTAAAAGAAAGGAAATCACCTGTTTGGATACTACTATAAGCTTCTACATTTTTATAGCAAATATTAATTTTTCTATATGTTTTGATGATATCAGAAGCATGTGCAACTTTTTTAATCCAAGACCACAAAATTGCTACTTTAAGTCAGAGATTTCAACCCAGAATTCACTGCATTTCTGCAGTTACCAAAATTTGCTTAAGATACATGTTTTAAAAAAAAGATACATGCTAGTGAGAGATATAGTCTGAGGGCAATTAACCATCCTTTAGAGCAAAATTTCTCAATCTTGGCACTGTTGACATTTTAGTCTGCCTAATTCTTTGTTGTGGAGGGCTGCTCTATGCATTGTAGGATGTTTAGCAGCATGACTGGCTTCTACCTACTAAATGCCAGTAGTGCCCCTCCCAGTAGCTACAACCAAAACTGTCTCCAGATAGTGTCAAATGATACCCCAAGTTGAGAACAACTGCTCTAGGTTTCTTAAACTCTGTTCCTGGGACATGTTAGATTTTTATACTGTAGTGAAAAGAACACTGAACTTGGAGTCATTAGAACTAATGTTAATCCGTAGTCTATAATTTCATCAATGGAGCACTGGGCCAGATATCTAATGTCTTTGAGCCTTGATTTTCTTGTCTGTAAAATGCATTTGCTAAAAACTCATACATGAGACCATCGTGATGACTCAATGAAGTACTGTTCATGAAGTACCAGGTATACATAAATGGTCAATACATGATTATTTTTTAATATAATCATTAGTCCATATGGCAATGTTTTTGTTTAGTTATAATTAAATATTATATCCATAGCCATTTTATAGGATTGATGTAGAAAATGTGTGTTTAAAGAATGCTTCTACATCTTTCATAAACTATAGTCAGATCTTGTCCACTATGTTCATTTTCCCTAAAATTCAGGAATAGAAAAAAAAGTATCCTGTCAAATGTATATTCTTACTTTATTGAAAAATGAGACTATATGCCGTGGTACATTTACCATTTTGTCTTGCCTTTCCAAGAGCTGCAAGGTAAATATAGTATTTAATTGCAGTGAGATGGATGCCAGAGATGGATGTAGCTTCTCCTAATTGGTTTTGGATCTGCCTTTTAAAATTTGATTGTTTTATTTTATATGCATCTGAATACTATAAACCATTTCAGGGCTTTTTACTTTTAGGTAGAAAGGACAGAAATAATAAAATAGTGAAGGATTGACTACTAGGAATTAAGGTACTGGTAGTGTAAGCATGAAAAGTTATGTATTTTCAAAAGAAAAAGGAAAAGAGTATATACATCTCCCGCAAACCGTGGAATACTTAACTCTTTTAAAATCAGTTTGCCCATCTGACAAACTAAGTATCTCTTACTCTGATACTGTAAGGACATTTAGTGGCTTAATGAATGAATTTGTGTAAGGCAGTTTCAGATCCAGTTAGCAAGATGCTACATATTTTAAAACAGCCTGATAAATGGATACTCACCCAAAACAACAATTTATGCCAGGCATTTTAAAATGCTTATTGCACTTGCTTTATTACCTACGTACCTCTTGGGAGACAACTTGTAAACCAACTTTTGTGGGACAATAAATTAGGGGTATCTGTCTGTAATGGTATTGGAAATGCAAATGTTTCTTTTATTGCCCTAGTAGTCAACAGAGGAACAGATTTGTTTGAAAACACCTACAACAAGACTCTACATACAATAGTTACTCAGAAAATGTTTGGTGAATAAACATTATTCAAATCCTGACTTGCATTTTCCTTTTAAGATATTAAAAATATTTCCAAAAGACAGAATAATCTGAAAGGCAACAGGTCATATCTTCCTAATAGGCGACACCAGATACCCAGGGAATGGAATCTGAGAGTAAAAAATTAGAAGGGAATGAACATTAAAAAGAATACTGTAACTGTATTTAAGAAATATTGGAAAGATCCCAAAGTGGTTCCTGGACCACCTGTATCACAATAAATTTTGGAAATCTGAAAATTGGAGATCCTCTAGGGATTGAACTAGGTATACTGCATTTAACAAGCCTCCTAAGTGATTCTAATGCACATTAAAAGTCAGAAATTTCTGGCTTGAAGGAAAGTTTATTGCTAGTTTGCAATGAAAAAAAAATGCTGAGGTTTTCTTCAACTTATTTCATCCATTCATTCAATAAATGTGTATCAGCACTTTTTATAGACAAGGCACTATACTAGATGCTGAAAATCCTAGGACAATTTATGTGGAAAATGAAAGCACTATGCATGGTTTAGACGCCAATGCTCATTTTCCTATACACACTGCTTCAGTACCTTGTTCATTTTCTGTGTTACTTTCTTTGAGCTACAGCCTCATGCCCTGCTTGATATTGCTTTAAAAGCACTGCAAGCATAAATATCAGACAGGAGCACAAAAGCCACTCATAAGAAAGAGTGGTACAGCAAGGGCAAAGTACTACTGTAGGCTTTCCTTGTTCTGATAGCAAGGAAATAAACATAGCAGGAAGGGAGTCCATCCAGAAAAAAATTCCAAATTGTTTTGTGTTGTTAACCTGAGATTCCAATATATGCCTTGGGTACACCTGCAGTTTGCAGGTAACGTTCTGGAAGAAAATACAGAAATATAACACTAAATTCCTCGCTGCATAGCATTATGGGGAATGTGCTATATATCTTCCTTTTCCCTTTCTCATCCACTCTTCTCAACCTTGATTTGTGCTAGGAGCACTCCTTGCCCTCTAGCTTTCTATTGGTTTACCTGAGATAGATGTGAGAGAGAAAAAGAAAAGTCTATGTAAGTAGTCTGATTAAGACAGTTAACAAGAAGGGGCCAAGAAGCATTCTTGGATGAGTAGAAAGTGAGTAAAGGAAGAGAGAATGGATAGAAAGGGAAGTTCTCTAAGTTGCCTGAAATTGGATTGGCATTCAAAGAAATAGAGACTAAATTGTAAAATTAAAACTGATGTCAGCCAGGACCGGTTTGGCTCAATGGATAGAGCGTCAGCCTGCGGACTGAGAGGTCCCGGGTTCGATTCCGGTCAAGGGCATGTACCTTGGTTGCGGGCACAATCCCAGTGAGGGGGGTGCAAGAGGCAACTGGTCGATGTTTTTCTCTCATCAGCGTTTCTAACTCTCTGTCCCTCTCAATTCCTCTCTGTGTAAAATCAATAAAATGTGTTAAAAAAAAAACACAAAAAAACAACAACAACAACTGATGTCAAATTCACAATTTCCTGGCCATGAGTTTTTTTCAGGCATTATCCTCAATAAACTACATATGACAAAACCTCTTTCAAACATCACTGTGAGCTATTTGAACATGGTTTACAGGGTTTTATCACCTGGTATTAGACACCACTCTCTTTTGACATTTCCACACATTTTACATTTAAAATGGTTAGTCTTCAGAAAACCATAGCACACAAGATTTCTGTATCTTTTACAGTATTGTGCTTTGTCTAAATCCAATTCATCCCATAAATTACAAGGCCTTTGTGGTTTCCAAAGCCCTCAAGATTCCAGAAACAGAACTTGGCAAAAATGCGTGTGTCCCTGAGCTTTCAGATGTTTCCTCTTAATCAATGTGATCCCTAGTTAAAAACAAAAAACAAAAAACAAAACTATATTTGATTGCAGATAACATCAGGAGACTTTCCCACTGATAGCCCATTAAGTCCAGGTTGTGCCTTTTGTGGATATGTGTGTGTAAACAAAAACATATAAAGCCTTGGCCAGTGTGTGGTTCATTTGATTGGAGGGACAACACTGAAGGTGGCAAGACTGACCACCAGTCTGGATAACTTCAGGAGGCAACTAATCCATGTTTCTTTCTTCTCTCTCTCTAAAAATCAATTAAAAATATATAATTAATTAAAATCAGAGGTCTCTAGTGAGTCCCAAAGTTACTGTGGAAATACATTGAACTAAAAAAAATATTTAGTTTTCATCTTATCAATCTGCCTTGTATGTGTATTGGATATCCAGGGCTAACCTAAGATAGTGAAGATCTCCAGGAATCTTAGTCATCTGCCATGCTATGAAAAGCAGGCTCATGCTCAGTTGAACCTGGTTTAGAATTCCCAGGTGCCCAGAGTTAGCCCAAGGAACCTATGAAGATACGGCAAGTCCCTGTTTTTAACACAAGTTTTGTTTTTTTAAGGACCTATGCTTTACATCCTTATAACTATTTTGTAACTACCAAATTGTACTTCTCAATCCCTTCACCTTTTTCATCCTGTCCCAAGTGAAAATATTGGAGGGAGTGCTTTGTAAAGTATATGAATGTCTAACCCCTCTGCTGTATATCTGAAGCTAATACAAAATAATATTGAATGTAGGATTGTAATTTAAAATAAAATTTAATTAAAATAAATAGATGAAATCCAGGGTGGGGAAAATGAGCTTTGAAATAATAGCTGTGAAGTAGAAAACAAAGCAGATTTCTACTGCAAAATAACTCTAATCAGTGCACAAAAGAGGGTATTTTTCCTCTAAAACAAAAAATGGGCAATGGACCTAAATAGAATATTTACAAAAGAAGACAGAAAGAAGGCCAAAAGGCACATGAAAACATGCTCAAAGTCACTAATTATCCGAGAGATGCAAATCAAAACAACAATGCGGTACCATCTCACACCTGTCAGAATGGCCAACATCAACAAATCAACAAATGACAAGTGTTGGCGAGGTTGCGGAGAAAAAGGAACCCTCGTGCACTGCTGGTGGGAATGCAGACTGGTGCAACCACTGTGGAGAACAGTGTGGAGTTTCCTCAAAAAACTGAGAATGGAACTCCCATTTGACCCAGTAATCCCACTTCTAGGAATATATCCCAAGAAACTAGAAACACCAATCAGAAAGGATATATGCACCCCTATGTTCATAGCAGCACAATCTACAATAGCCAGAATCTGGAAACAGCCTAGGTGCCCGTCAGCTGATGATTGGATCCAAAAACTTTGGTACATCTACACAATGGAATACTATGCTGCCATAAAAAAGAAGGAATTCTCACCATTTGCAGCAACCTGGATGGAATTGGAGAACATCATGCTGAGTGAAATAAGCCAATCAATGAAAGAGAAACACCACATGACCCCCCTCATTTGTGGATAATAAAGATCATTATAAACTGATGAACCAAAAGATAGATATAGAGACAGTAAAGCTACAAGCAGATTGTCAAATTACAACGGGGAGGGGAGGAGGGTCTGGGGGAGATAATAAATCAACCCAAGGACTTGTGTACATGCATATAAGTACAACCAATGGACATAAAACTCTGGGGAGGGAGGGGATATGTGGGAGGGAAGGAGGGGGGCAAAAAAAATCAATAAAATATGTAAAATAAATAAATTAATTAATTTAAAAAAATAAAATAAAACAAATTAGTGAGATAATTTTTAATCCCTCATGTTTTGTTTTTTATTCTGTGGGCCAATAATGAACTCCTCAAACCCCCTTTTTTAAACAAAGTCCAAGCTATGCTATGAGAGTAATCCTGGAATATTTGTTTTCAGATATTTAATGATTATCACTTAAGGTTAGAAATGATTTCAAACCAATATAGATAAACCTAGCATATTTTCAGGGTTTACTGCAGCATCTTGAAATAAAATAGATGAATTAAAATTGCTTGTACAATAAGCTAGTCTATTCTGAAATCCCTACTCCTCTAGTGATGTACCTGGTGTTAGACACCACTCTCATTCATTGGTTTAGAGACAGCAAACTAATAGAATTTTCATGTGTGGAATCTAGTGAACAAAATAAACTGATGAACAAAATAGATACAGAGAAAAGAAGCATGAAACAGACTGTCAAACCTCAGAGGTAAGTGGGGAGAGAGTGGAGAGTGGGAAATGATCAACCAAAGAACCTATATGCATATATGCATAACTCATGGACACAGACAATAGGTGGAAGAGGCCTAAGGTAAGGGGCACAGGTGAGTTAAATGGGGTCAATGGGGAGGGAGGGGGACATATGTAATACTTTTTAAATTTTTATATTAATAATAGAATTTTCGGGTTTTCTCTATTGCAGCTCTCAACATACCTTGCTTGTGCCTCTATTTAATTTCTAATATTTTAATAAACACATTTAAAGTTCAATTTTAGCTACAAAATAACCAGTCTGCCATTCAAGAGGATATCTGCATTGTCTGTACTGGTTTTCCTTGTTTTGCTTTGTTTGATATTATAGAATATTTGGAAAATGTTATAAATTCCAAAATTTAAATTTTATAAAAATTTTAAAATTGTTAATATGATAAAATATTCTACAATTTGATATCATTATATAATATAATGCCAACTTTATTTTTCAATTTCAATTTGTTTTTATGCATAGATTTAGATGTAAGGAAATATGATAAAATTCCAAAAGTTATTATTTTGAGATAGTAGAATTATCAGTGATTTTTATTTAGCTTTTTATGCTTTTCTGAATTTTCCAAATATTCTACAATAAGCAAATATGTATTCATTTTATTTTTAACTTATTTTTTTAAGTTTTTTATTTTTTTATTTAGAGAGAGAGAGGAAGGGAGGAGATAGAGGGGAAAACATCTGTGTGAGAGCAAAACATTGGTCAGCTACCTCCTGCACGCCCTCTGCTGGGAATCAATCCAGCCACCGAGGCATGTGCCCTGACCAGGACTTAACCTTTCCCTGCACAAGAATGCCCAGCCAACTGAGCCACGCAGTCAAGGGCTAGATGTTCATTTTAAAATCTGAAAAGGGCATCCTTAAAAAAATTAACCTGTTTTGCTTTTTATATTACATCAAGTTTAGTTGTAAAAATAAACAAGCAAACCAACATACCTTTTGATTAAATGGGCTCGGCTGTTCACATAGTTGGAGTCAAAAGAATAGTTTTCAGTCTGCAATGGGAAAAAAAAATGTTATACAGATGATTCATAAAAAAAGCCAAACTGTCCTACTTAGCAGAGGGGGGTCATTTTTCTACTGGGTAATAAGCAATGAATGAATAAGAAACCAAAGGCATAGTGGAGCAACAGCCTGAGTAATGCCTACCGCCTCCTTGGGGCCCTCGGTTTTCTGTGGATGCAGGCCTCACCTGCAGACTAAGATGAACTTAACACAAACATCCCCTAGAATGAGGCTGGCTACTGACTGCAACCACTTAGGGGAAGATACAGCATGACCCACAATCTTTACAGAAACTATTTGCTTCCTATTCCCTAGTGGACACAATTCTGTGCCCATCAAATTGACTGGAAATTCAAAGGTATTTTTATTAATAGTAGATAATTAACATGTTAAAATATTTATTCCATAGATATGGATATGCAGGCAAGATAATCACCCACTGTTGATTTACTAGTAAACTCTGCACTTCCTTTTGTTTTAAGATATTTAACTCAGTGCTGGTTATGCAGGGAAGTCTCCAATTTATTACAGATATAAAAACAAACAAGCATTATATCAAATATTGGGTGAAGGGCAGTCCACAGGAGGTGGCAAATCCTTTCATGTGAAACATGAAGTTTGCAAGCAAACCCCTGTCTCAGCTCCTATCATTAAAACACCACTGTCTAAACTGGTTGCAGTGGACTGCCTAAGCACCTGCTTTACAAAAGCAAATGCAGAATACCTGCCAGATGAAAAAGATGGGGAAATAGCTTGTGAGCACCAGCAGTTGGGGTGATTAAAGGGGAGCAGCCTTAGAAAGTGGTAATACTTACCACTTTCTGTAATATTTACCACTTTCTAAGGCTGCTCCCCTTTAATCACCCCAACCGCTGGTGCTCACAAGCTATTTCCCCATCTTTTTCATCTGGCAGGTATTCTGCATTTGCTTTTGTAAAGCAGGTGCACATGACCTCACTCATTGGTGGACGATAAAGCTCATTATAAACTGATGAACCAAGAGACAGAGATAGAGAAAGTAAAGCAACAGACAGACTGTCAAATTACAGTGGGGAGGGGAGGAAGATCTGGGGGAGATAATAGATCAACCGAAGGACTTATATACATGCATATAAGTACAACCAATGGACATAAAACTCTGGGGAGGGAGGGGATGTGTGGGAAGGAGGGAGGGGGGTAAAGAAAATCAATAAAATATGTAAAAATAAATAAATAAATAAATAAAACAAAAATTAAAAAATTAAAAAATAAAAAGAAAGTGGTAATACATGGAAATATCGACAGTGATGTTACTAGTCTTAGTTAAGCTGACCTTACCCCCAACATTGAAGTACTACTCTCATTGAAGCATTGTATAAATTGAAAAGTGCTCTAACATATCTCCTCCAACCCTTTGCCATTCTAACAGAAGTCCTCGTTATTCTCACCATTCCTTAGGGCTTTCTGAAATCACTTCAATTGAAAGTGCCTAGAAAGGAAACACAATAGCTGTCTAGCTAGCAAAACGACAGATTCCTTTCACATGACTACCTGCCAGACATTAACTACCAAGCTCTTGAGCAATTTTTTATTTCAAGAATCTCATAGTTTGGGAGAGAAGTAAACAGGACAGATGATAGCAGATCGAACTACCACATGAGCACCAAACTATCATCAGTCAAGGTGGGGCCCTTAAATATCTAGAGTAGGTGAATATCTATATGGGATTGGTGACTAGGTGAGAGAAAGGAGGAGACAATATGAAAAGGAAATCCTGCATTAACTCAGGTATGTCTATGACTGCCACTTGCCCTTCATTTGATGATGATCTGTCTAATATCCACTCTCATTGTTTTAGATAGAGGATAAAAAAATCCACGTTAATGTTAACCACAAGTAGCTTAGTATGTTGAAAGGAATGATTTGGAAGAGTAAAAGTCAAAAGGATCAGTTCATTTGTAATTTGTTTATAAGAAAATGGATGCTGAAATTGTTGTAAACATAATTAGAGGAGGATGAGGCAAACTTGAAGCTGCACTGGTAATACAATGCTGAAGTTATTGCTGAAAGAGGTTACTTATCTATCAGTCAGTCAACCAATGAGCATTTCTTGAATTAATTTCTTATTCTAACATTATAAGCCAAAAATGGTATTGGGTGAAAGTACTCTTCCATGATATTCAGTAAAATATATAATTTAACAAATGGAAGTGACCCAATACCTTTAAAAAGCACACTATCAAAATACCAATGGCATATTTCACAGACCTAGAATGAACTCTCCAAAATTCATCTGGAATAAAAAACAGATCCCAAATAGCTGCAGCAATCCTGAGAAAGAAGAACAAAGTAGGTGGGATTTCAATATCAGATATCAAGCTGTATTACAAAGCCACTGTTCTCAAAACTGCCTGGTACTAGCACAAGAACAACATGTAGACAAATGGAATAGAATAGAGAACCCAGAAATCGACCCAAGCCACTATGCTCAATTAATATTTGACAAAGGAGGCAAGAGCATACAATGGAGTCAAGACAGTCTCTTCAACACGTGGTGTTGGGAAAATTTGACAGATACATGAAAAAAAATGAAACTAGACCACCAACTTACACCATACACAAAAATAAACTCAAAATGGATAAAGGGTTTAAACATAAGACGGGAAACCACAAAAATAGTAGAGAAATCCACAGGCAGCAAAATCTCAGACATATGACAAAGCAATTTCTTCACTGATAAATCTCCTATGGCAATGGAAACTATGAAGAAATAACCAAATGGTACTACATCGAAATAAAAAGCTTTTCCACAGCAAAAGAAACCATCAACAAAACAATAAGAAAGCCCACTGCATGGGAGAACATATTTGCAAATGTTATCACTGATAAAGATTTAATCTCCAACATCTACAGGCAATTTATACAACTTAATAAAAGATAAATGATCCAATAAAAAAAAAATGGGCAGCAGACCTAAATAGAATTTTTTCAAAAGAAGACAGAAGGAAGGCCAAGGGACACATGAAAGCATGCTCAAAGTCACTAATAATCCAAGAGATGCAAATCAAAATGACAATGTGGTACCATCTCACACCTGTCAGAATGGCTATCATCAACAACTCAACAAACCACAAGTGTTGGCGAGGATGTGGAGAAAAAGGAACCTTTGTGCACTGCTGGTGGGAATGCAGACTGGTGCAGCCAATGTGGAGATCAGTATGGAGTTTCCTCAAAAAACTAAAAATAGAACTCCCGCCAAAACCGGTTTGGCTCAGTGGATAGAGCGTCGGCCTGCGGACTGAAAGGTCCCAGGTTTGATTCTGGTCAAGGGCATGTACCTTGGTTGCGGGCACATCCCCAGTGGGAGGTGTGCAGGAGGCAGCTGATGGATGATTCTCTCTCATCGATGTTTCTAACTATCCCTCTCTCTTCCTTTCTGTAAAAAAAAAAAAAAATAGAACTCCCATTTGACCCAGTAATCCCACTCCTAGAAATATATCCTAAGAAACTGGAAACACCAATCAGAAAGGATATATGCACCCCTATGTTCATAGCAGCACAATCTACAATAGCCAGAATCTGGAAACAGCCTAGGTGCCCGTCAGCTGATGATTGGATCCAAAAACTTTGGTACATCTACACAATGGAATACTATGCTGCCATAAAAAAGAAGGAATTCTCATTTTGTTCATCAGTTTATAATATTCTTTATTATCCACAAATGAGTGAGATCATGTGGTATTTTTCTTTCATTGACTGGCTTATTTCATTTAGCATAATGCTCTCCAGTTCCATCCAGGTTGTTGCAAATGGTAAGAATTCCTTCTTTTTTATGGCAGCATAGTATTTAATTGTGTAGATGTCCCATAGTTTTCCGATCCAGTCATCTTTATTATCCACAAATGAGTGGGGTTATGTGGTGTTTCTCTTTCATTGATTGGCTTATTTCACTCAGCATGATGTTCTCCAATTCCATCCAGGTTGCTGCAAATGGTGAGAATTATGGATACAGACTATGCAACAGAATTATTCTAATTGGCTAGCCTACACTTATTCTGGCCTCATTAGTACTACAGTCCAAACAACTAAGCTAACTGGCCATAAATGGCCTCCTATAGGGCTGTGTATACTTACACCAAGTGTTCTTGCTCATACTGATTTATGTGTGTTCAAAGCCAACTCCTGTGCCTTGGAAGGGTAAACTTTTTTTTACACTTCAGGTGACACAAAGAATGGTACTCAGACCACCCTGAAATAGGAACTCTCTTAATGAATAGTTCGCATGTCTTAAGTCAGTGGTTCTCAGACCTAGCTGCACATTAGAATCAACTAGGGAATTGGAGGGGGGTATTTTTGTTTGTTTGCTGTTAAGATACTGTTGCCAAGGTCCCACTTCAACAGATTCTGAGGTAATTGGCCTAGAGTGGGGCCCAGCAATTGGTATTTTTTAAAAACTTCCCAGGTAATTCTATGTACATCAAGAGTGGAGAACTGTCCTTAGCAAAGGACTAGCCATTGAATGTAACCTGATGTGGCTGTGTTTTCTAAGGCAAACCCAGCTGTTTAGAAGATGGCACCTTTTTATCATATTATCTGCCAAGCTCACCTCAGTATATGATACTGAACACAGCACAAATAATTTTTTAAGAAATAATAAAAGAGCTTTTCTTTTTTTTCACGAATGTATTAGCTCTTGGTTAGCCTTATTTAATCAAAGTTTACTTGACCTTATTCCAATCCCCTCTTTAAGTATTCCAAATGGCAAATAGCATGAAACATTTGAAAGGGGAAATTTTTTTCTAAATGTCACATTAATTTGACTAGAAAATGTGCCCATCTCTAATGAGACAGCCAAGATAACACAAGAACACAGCAAAAAGACATTTGTTTCTAAAAAACCTAATTTTGACATTAAAAAATGGGTCTAGAGCAAACTTTTATTTCCAGTCTCAATGGTAAATAATCAATCCCCTATCATTTAATATATTTCTCCCAAATTCTTTCTCTAATT